GGAGTCTCTATCTCAATTGCGTGAGCTGGGAAGGTTCCGTCCTGTGGCAGCGAGCCGGTTTCACATCCTCAAGAGAGCACCTGAGTTGACTGGTTACAACTACAAGACTAACAGAGAACAGCAAAAGCTGCTTCAGACGAAATCACGTGCTATCTCAGCTTCACCCAATTAGGCCGAAAACATCCCCAAACTTGAAGGCCTGAGAGCCTAGGTTCTTAATTCTTAATGCTGTCGCCTGAGCCGAACAGTTCCAGAGCCCCCTCAAGCAAAGACGAGTGAGTTCCGCACATAGCTGTGGACACGGGAGCCACGCCATCCTGCCAAGTTTGTGCTTACTTGTGATTTGCTCCTGTCATTACGCTGTAGTACAATGCACGCGAAAGTAGAGCTAGAGATTTTTACCCAGGTTCCCTGCTCTTCAGTGCTTTTCGAGACGGCACTCCTGAATGTGCAGAAAAATTCCCACAATCCGAAACTTCCGAAAAACGGACTGAGTTACTGCTGCATGGTGACCCTCGTTACGACAAGGCATAGGTTCACAGCCGGAAATTGATACCGCCCTTTGCAGCACCTTGTCCATGCTTGTTGGTCTCTGCTGCAAGTTCGCATCGTAGGCCTTCCACAAGTCGGTGGGAGAAATAGTGTCGCCGTCTCTGCCAAAGGGATGGAATTCTTGCAAAGCTCCACGCAAGCTACCCTTAAACTCGGCTTCAAAACGATGGCCTTGGTTCCGTCAGCTGGAGTTGCAATGCTGCGCCGGACCTCCCTGGAGTTCCTACGTAAAGATACTTCACGATTTTGCATACCATGCCCGAACCTCTGCGTTGCAGTGTAGGAATTCCGGCAAGAAAGTCTCAAAGCCACACTCCACATTCTAAGCCCTAAGCCCCACGTGCCAAAGCTCAAAACGCCGCATGGAAGCACCGGAAAGCCTCCAGGAGCTGCCGACGAAAATTCGCCCACGAGGAGTCCAGGGTGGCGGCAAAGGTACCTTCCAAGCGCTATAGTATTCTCATATTATATTTGTATTTTAAGTAATTTTTTATACCGTTATAATATCATTGTATTTTCGACTCTCTTTTTGTCGCCCGCCTTGTTGTCGGCAGATCTGAAGCAACACATGGGTGTGGATACGCCACCACTACCTGTACCTGTTCATGTAACTGTACCTGCACCTGGAACCAGGACCAGTACCAGCATCCCTACTACTACTACTACTACTACTACTACTACTACTACTACTACTACTACTACTACTACTGCGACGACGATGACGACGACGACGACGACGACTACTACTACTACTACTACTACTACTTCTCCTACTACTACTGGTACTACTGCAACTGCAACGGCTCCTGCTGCTGCTACTGCGACTGCGGCTGCTGCTGCTACTATAGTGCTTCAGCTTCTGCTAGTGCTTCCACTTCTGCAAGACTGCAAGGTGTGAATATACTGCAAAGAGACAAACAGCAAACAGTAATTGCAGAGATACTGGCTTTGTGGCCTCAGCCTTGTCGCCCGTTTGGGGCTGAGGCTTGCATTTGATAAAAAAAGATTGTACTTCTTGACTATGGCGATATGTTGTATCTGACCATCATGGTCTTACAGCCGCATCATGCTTGCTGCCAGGACTTTCCAATGCAAGGCCACATGCAAACGGACGTCAACGCTTCAATATGCTCCAGAGACAGCACGGCAGGCACCCCGCGACTGCGCATCATGCGTACTCGGAATCTCCATGGAGCAGGATGGTGGGTGGATGGGTGGAACTCGTAAAGTGTTAAACTATGTGATGCGTAAGTCAGGGGCATAGAATGCCCAATGCAACAACCTTGACGTCTCTGTCTCGGGCTGCTTTACACTTGCATTCGCGGGTCTGAGGCTACTTGGTTCAAAGCTGCACATCATGCGAAAAGTGGTTGGAGGGAAATGGAAAAGTTGGCCACCACATGCTTGCATGATTCTACGCTTCTTCGATTCCGGGAGCCCAACATACAAAGGCGCGGCGAGCATAACCTGCGAAGAATCAAGACCGTCTCGTCAGCTCAAGAACGTCTGTCATGTGCCGTCTTGGTGTTGGAAGTGGTTGGACGCTATACTATAGCACGATCCCCGAGCAGCGACCGGCATGCCGTTGGAATCTTGAATGATGCCGCAGGTTAGTGACAAATTCAGGCAAACTCCGACAAGCCGTGGCGAAGCTTAAAGCATCCTTGTGTCAGAACCCTATCTCAAGAGTGCAGGAGTCTTCAGAGCCGGCCATCCTTTTTGACAAGGCCTCCATCCCACAGTCGCAGTCTCGCTTTGGCGACGTGGCCCCGGGGCCACACGAACTGCACCGGGAAGGCACATCCTGCCCTGAGTGCGGCATAGTCAACTGCACCGAGGACTCCGCAGATGACTTGGCACAATATTAATTAGACAGACCAAGGCAGGACTGCAGCCTGCAGCGGCCACCCCTTCTTAAAAGGCTTCAGGTTTGCGGCGGTGTTCCGGCACGCATCGAGGCAATAGCAAAGAATGTTCTATTTGCCCCTGGCTGCTGGCTTGCAAGTCCGACGAGCAGACAACGACTTGTGAGCGTAAAGTACAGTTCTCTTCTGACGTGTGCAAACACTGTGCAAAGGACTCGAAGTCATGCAGGTTCGGTCAGGGCCTCAGCACTGCGAACCTTCCAACGAAAGGAAGCCATGCTCGACTGCATACGAACCAAGGACGCTCGGCTTTCCTCGTTTCTTGAACTTGCCATCTCCTGACGTTGAGCACACTACCGATCCGTTATGCAGTGGAATCAACATCTTGCTTGCGCAGCTTTCGCAAGCTTTGCGCTGCCGAGCAACGGCCACCGTGTAAGCTCGTTAGCTCCAGCTGCTCATCGAAACGGCTCTCGGTTTCGATCTGCAGGCCGTTCAAAAAATTGCTAGACATTCCATGTCCAGAAGCCCTCCATAACGCTGGTAAAAGCAAACAGCCCTCATGGCACGTGAAAATGAACGTAGTCCAAGTCTTGAAGCCGGCACCCTTGCTCGTTAGTAACTGAATTGCATAGCCGAGCTTTTAGCCAGGGATTGCATGGGCAGCATGTCCAAGTCCCTAAAAGGAATCCGCTATGCTTTTGCGGGACTGCCTTCCCCAGGGCATGCAAGTCCCTTTCCAACCGGCTTGCTACGAACACCGGGTGTAGTTGCGAAAAGCAGCTGGCTTCTGATATCTGATGTTATGGTCTCCTGTCTGAATCTAGTTCATCCTCGTCTTCGGCCTGTTACGTCATACTACGTCAGTGGGAAATTGGAGAGTTCTGCACTTGGTGGTGTGTTGGTCTGTTGCGTTCGCTCTCACCCACCCCCTCTCGAGCCTCCTGCACATCAACCCCCTGCTACCCCGCTCTTTTGGACGCAGGCCCAACCCCACTCGCCTCATGAGGAAGTGGGTTTAAGGTACGGACAGATACGAGATCAACCGCCATCGCCTAATCGGGTAACTGGTGCTGACCATCGCCGAATGAGAGGGCGAGTCTAAGATTTTGATATGGGGTCAACCAAGAGATATGAGATGAAGCGCACTCGCCCAAAGATGGGACCGGTTTAAATGTGGGATCCACCGCGCTCGTGACAATGAGGGGGCAGGCTTGAGACATGATGAGATGCGAGATCAACCGCCATCGCCCGGGTTTCAACCTGTAAGATCAAGTGCCCGTCATCCAGGAAGCTTTTTGAATCTCAAACTTTGAAACTCGGAACTCTGAAACTCTCGAACTTGCATGCCGTTCAAGTTTCAAAACCTTCAGACTCTGTAACTCCAGACTTCTGAATGAAACTTTGGATCTAGCAAACTCTCGACCTGAGCGGTAAGCTGCGAATCGAGTTTGAAGCACGTGAAGCTAACTGCTTTAGGCTTTCAAACTTGCAAACCTTCGAACTGGAGCTTGAGTTCGAAGCAGCGAGTCGAGCTCAAAAGTTTCGAAGCTTGAGATGGCGAAGTTTTCGAGGTTGAAAAGTTCGAAGTTTGAAGCATGCGCGCATGCCATGCGCAGACCAAGGTGTCCAACGTCTCGAACTCCTGCACCCGTCGAACCCTCAAAGTTCCAAGCTTGCAAACTTCAAGCCTTCGAACTTTCAAACTCTCGAAGCTTCGAGTTCGAACCACGTCGCCAGGAACAGCATTCGTGGATAGCAGGCGGGTGGGTGAGCTGGGTGGTGACCCTGGCAGAGGCCGCTTCTCGTTTGCCCAGGGCACGCATCCTTTCGACACCATCTGGCTGCGCTGAGGGAAATTCTGAGCAGGGTGCTTCCAGACAGGCATGGCACCTTCTGAAGCCAAACGAATTTTGCTATCTTCTTCGTGACTTCTACTGTATATCCCTTTGGCAATGTGCAACAAGGTTTGCACCAAAATCTGAAGAGGGAACCAGGCACTGGGGGGGGGGGCAGTTAGTCGGAATGCAATGCATGTCAAAGTGCCATGGGCTTCGAAGCTTTCTTTCAGCACTTGCAATGTAGCAGCACGTTTTCGCTCGCCTGTGGCAAGACTGAGCCTAATGTAGGGTTTTGAACAATTGAATTAACATATTGTTTTGGGGTATAGTCAGTGTGCGTGGCTTTTGGGCCCCAAACCGTGCTCTGCCGATCCGTGGATCGGCTGATGCGCACTTAGCAAACCCACTTTGCGAGCACTGCGCAGTTAGCGTACCGACTTTGCGAGCACAATGTACAGTTATACAAAGGAGCCCTTAACAAGCGGTACCATTCTTGATTCTTTCTATACTCGTCCTGACTCACAACCTGAGACACGATCCGCTCCAAAGCCCCCGGAAGGCTTCTGGACAAAGTTTAAAAAGAGGCAGCTGCCAGGCCAGGAAACCGAAGCTCACGGCACCTGCAAGGAGAATCACGTTGAAGTTCTGATCCAATCAGCTGCTTTACTTCGCATGACTTGCTGGTCTTGCTAAGCACTCTCGATGTTGGTGTGGCTTCTGTGGTTGTGCGATTGCCAGAGCCTCAGATGTCACGACACCGGACACCAATGGACACCGCGGACATCGGCGTCTCCAGCACGTCCGCCTGGATCCAAATAAACATTCCTCTTCCCTGTTCCGCCGGGTCCATATGTTTGCATGGAATGTCGGCACAACAGTGCAAGAAGACCGAACAGTGGAGGCAATCCATGCTGCCCCTCGTCCGGTGCGTGGACTTGCCTCAGCTGCTTGGAATCGCGGGATGGCACCTGGCATAGGGCGAAAAACGGCTCATGGAAGGCTGTGGTGCAGGCTCCGGGCATGACTTGATCCTGCAGCCAGGCCTTCTGGTGTAGGCGAAAGTGCGGGTGGCTTTCTCGAGCGTACATTGTCAAGCCCATGGTTGCCGAGGGCATGTGCTTCCTGGCAGCTGGCTGACGTGTCTGCATCCAGTAGTCTGGAGCAGTTATTGTAGCTGCCTTGTGACAAGTTTGACTTGCGTCTTGACCCGCAAACCACTGCTGGGCATTCTTAGTGTCAGCTGGACTCGATGCTCCACATAATGGTGTATTGTCCTGCTGCGGAAAGTCGACAAATTATGACTATGAAGTTCACAACCACGAGAACGCATCAGTATCGTGCGCTGCATGATTACATCGTGCTGGGATGTACTGGGTGATCCTCGGAGGGCGCTTCGCTGGAGGCATACGTCTCCATCACCTGCCAGCTCTGGCTGTGACTGTTGGACCTGCTCTTGCAAATGTTGCAGGAACGTGGAATGTGATGCAAAGAAGCACCGTAGAAGCACGTGGTTCACTGGGCCAGAGAGAGAAGGAGCGAGAGTGTCTTTGTGTGTGTGTGCGTCTGTTTTCTATCTCTTATCTATTTACCCATATTCATATACCTATCATGCTGCTCTAGCTAGCTATCCCTCCATTTGCCCCTATCTAGCTATGTATGCATCCATGTAATCCTGTATGTCTGTATGTACGTACACATGTATGCATGTCTGCGCCTGTCTGTCTAGCTGTCTTCTTGTCTGTCTATGTATCGACCTACCTTTCTATCTTCCCTTCGACGGAGTCTCACGCGTTTCAGAAACGCACTTACGTTTATTCCACATAGCTCAGACCGCACGGCAAATAACCCATCTCTGAGAAATTAAGTATTGTAGTGGCGGCATCATAGGGCAATGATGTAACAAGTGCGTCAGTGTTTCAGGGAACCGTAGCCAGTAGATAGGGAAAGGAAGGCAAGCAGTGCGAGCACTTGCATCCTTGCGCACCTTGGGATCACCCCTCATGCAAAAGTTGTCCACCACACAACAAGCGAACAAGCGCCCCTGCAGTTCAGCCGTCTAGCCTTGCAAGCCGGGAAACGAGGACGATGATGAACCGTACGGCTGACTTCCAAGGGCATCAAAATGGTACCAGCAGTAGCACAACAATTTGCCAAGCAAGGATTGCGAGAGGCAACATCTATCTATGTCTCTCTCTGTTTCTTGATCGATCTACCATGATCTACCTATCTACCTATCTGCATATCTTTCTATGTACCTATCTACCTATTTATCTATCTGTCCGTCTGTCTATCGCTCTCTCGACCTATCGATGTAACTATGTTCTCGTGTATCCATCCTCTCCATCTCTCCATCCATTCATCCATCCATCCCTCCAATCCATCCACCCAGCCATGCATCCATCTGTGTGCACATGTGCATGGATGCACATGAACATTCCGCCTGTTATCTACTTCGATCATCTGAAATCGTTCACCCCTGTGGGCGGGGGCCTTTGGATCGTCGTGCGGGTACGCTTGGTGGCCTCCCCGCTGGACGGATGCCTCTCGACACCCACACATGGGCTGCTTTACAGTAGCAACTCGTTTCCTGTTGGCGGGTTTTGGTGCTTTATAGAAGGTCTGAAGCTCCCGAATATGTTTGGGGGCTGAGTCTTCACTGAAACCACGAAACAAGAGGTGCCCTTATAAATCTAAGCTGCAACTTCGGAGTCCGAGTAAAGCATTGCTCAAGCATTCGGCCAGGTAGCAAATCGTAAAGTGGCCATGGACTGCAGCACGACCTCCCTAAACCGTGCTTGCTCGCTCTTCAGGTCCTCAGCACACGGGATTGCATAGTTGCAGGCTGCGGTCCATTGAGTTGTAGTCTGAAACTGAACACGACCAACTTCAAATCATTGGGGTCCTCGCTTCCAGTGCTTGACCTGCGCCCAAAACCGCCGAACTGAGCTATCTTTCCGAACCTAGGGGAACTGCAGCCACGCAGCTGCAAGCATTCCTTGAATTGCCTGCGCCGTCAAAAGCGTGGCAACTGTGTCACCTCGGAGCATCGACCGAGGGAGACATCAAGCAACTGACCTCGACGCACATATTTAAGCCTGCAAGCCTATAAGCCCACCACTACGACTGTTGCTTCTGCAACATGGCAGCATCAACGCTGCCACTACCACCAAGTGTCGCTATGCCACAGCGACGACATGACCACCACCTTCACAGCGACCGCTCCCAACCCACCCCACCCTCACCCCTCTCATCACCCCGAACACCCCCCAGCATTAGCACCCCCGCAACCGGTCCCGCTACTTCGACGGCTCCTACCTGCTACAACTTACCAAGACTTCCTGCCTACTCCTACAACTCCTACTCTTCTACTACTCCTGCTTCTACTACTACTACTACTACTACTACTACTACTACTACTACTACTCCTACTCCTACTCCTACTACGACTACAACAACAACAACTACTACTACTACTACTACTACTACTCCTACTCCTACTCCTACTCCTACTCCTACTCCTACTGCTACTGCTACTGCTACTGCTACTGCTACTGCTACTGCTACTGCTACTGCTACTGCTACTGCTACTACAACAACAACAACAGCTACTACTACTCCTACACTACCCCTCCTGACATTGCTCCTGTTCCCGCCCACTACGACTACGACGGCTACACCGGCTACTGCTACCGTTGCTGCCATCACTACCCAGAGCAATGGAACTGTCTCGTCCGCGGAGCTCTTGGTCAACTCCCCACGGATCTTGAGCAAACCTTGTACCTGCCGCAGGGCACAAGCTTCTTTGCAACTGCGGCATAGGCTTGAAGAGCATGTTAAGGTGGCCCCACGGAAGACATGTCTCGAACCAGACGTTGTAGAGGTTTGTCGGGCTGTGTTCAATTCGGCGGTGGCGTAGCTGCATCCATCCGGAAATATGCCAAGCTTGTATTTCAGCTGAACCCCGACGGCACAAGCTCAGTCACGTGCAGCGTTCCAGACCCATCAGCATCGATTACCTGGTCGACATACTGCTCGCGGTTTGAGTTTGGGGCTGCTTTGTCCGCACTCTTGAAACTCTGTGCTAAAGGAGAAAAGGACAGAACATCGATACAGAGAGAGAGCGAGGAGAGGGAGGGGAGGGAGCACATCCTGTGCAAGATCCGATGACATTGGGAGCGCTTGGCGGCTTCGCTACAGCCCAACGGTTGTTTTCAACTTTCAACTGCAACGACCAGCCTCGAAGAGGTTTGCCCGGTCTGATGGAAGGTCCAAGTCGTTCATGAGCTTCTGAACACTCTGGTCCTGTGTGCTTTTGACTTGTTGCTGTCTGAGTCTGGTCGCCAACCGGTCTCTAGCACCACTTGTGCTGCCAAGGCGTGAATTGAAACACTGCTACACAGCCTTCGTCGGAAACAGATCCCAGTGCAGATCGCAGGTCCTGAATTACTAGCAGGAAGAGCTCTTTGGTAATGGCCTGGGTGGGCGATTGACTTCGACAAACATTTCCGAGTCAACATTCCATCGTTCAGTCGCAAAACACACCTGTCTGTCGCCATGAGACCTCCGAAATCTCCAGCCGCGAACTGTACATGATCACTTGATTAAGCTCCTGGCAATGTTGTCGTGGATGTCTTCGGTGAACGAGCTTGTTGCCAAATTCAGCCGACCCTTGGATAAAAATCCGGAATCGTTGATGGCCAGGCTAAAGGGGACAACCAGAAACCTGCACTCCCTTCAAACACAACTACCCACCGCTACCAGGGTTCTTCCCTTTATTCCCCTCGAGCCTTGCACCCTTCGCTGAAAATTAAGCCGGAGGCTCAACCTCATGCGAGTCGTGGAAAAGGCGATATGCCTCGGCGAACTTCTTGAGAAGCTCACCTGCTCGGGACACCGGCAGCAGTAGCACTAGCGAGGACACGGTTGTGGTGGAAGCTTCCCGCGGCAGTGGTAGTAGCAGCAGTAGTAGTAGTAGCAGCAGCAGGAGTAGTAGTAGTAGTAGTAGTAGTAGTAGTAGTAGTAGTAGCAAAAGTAGCAGTAGTAGTAGTAGTAGTAGTAGTAGTAGGAGTAGCAGTAGTCGTCGTCGTCGTGTTAGTAGTAGCAGCAGCAGCAGCAGGAGTAGCAGTAGTAGTAGTAGTTGCAGTAGTAGTAGTAGTAGTAGTAGTAGTAGTAGTAGTAGTAGTAGTAGTAGTAGTAGTAGTAGTAGTAGTAGTAGTAGTAGTAGTAGTAGTAGTAGTAGTAGTAGTAGTAGTAGTAGTAGTAGTAGTAGTAGTAGTAGTAGTAGTAGTAGTAGTAGTAGTAGTAGTACTAGTACTAGTAGTAGTAGTAGTAGTGGTAGTGGTAGTGGTAGTGGTAGTGGTAGTGGTGGTTGTGGTTGTGGTTGTGGTGGTGGTGGTGGCAGCAGTAGTCGTCGCCGTAGTAGTAGTAGTGGTTGGGGTTGTGGTTGTGGTTGTGGTTGTGGTGGTGGTGGTGGTGGTGGTGGTAGCAGTAGCAAAAGCAGTAGGAGTAGTATAATAGTAGTAGTAGGAGGAGGACGAGGATGTGGTTGTAGTAGCTATCGTCTCGGCAGACCGCGGAGCAGCAGCCACTTTGAGAAAAAGAGGAATGGAGTTGCAACGCAGACGGAAGTGCTGCCCGAGATGTTTCCGACTGATTGAGAAGACCTAAAACCAACATTAGCCATTAGTTCAACCATGCAGCCGTATCAACATGTACAAACAAGTGCAAGGCCATTGATCCAAAGGTTGCTGTCAAGAGGCGAGTGGTCCGAGCAATGCGGATGGACTCTCCTGAGCAAGGCAAGGCCGGGTACATTTGCACATTCAGCATCGTGTCCACATGAAGAAACTAGAACCATTTCGCTCGACCGTTTCGTTGTTTCACGTGCGATTTCGGCATGCCTGCTCGGGCTTCGGATCGAGAGTTGATTGTGTGCAACAACTTGCAATTGGTATTCAATGGGGCAGCTGCACAACGTCCAGCACGACAAAGGAGCTTCGGGCACCATCCGTGCAGAAGTTCATCGACACGTGCCCACTAGATGTAGCCTGGTCTCGTGAGTACTGCTCCGCCGTCGTAGCTTCCGTCTCCTGCGCTGAACTTAAGATGCAAGCAACCACCTCAACACCCAATGCAAGAAACAAGCGCACACGTTGGCGGCCCACTGATTATCACATGTGATACCGGATGCAAGCTTCGAGAGCGAAGTGAGACTTGGCTTATAAGGATCACTGCAAGGGAGAAAAAACGCACAGAGGGTTACCATGAAGGGTACCATAAAGCAACTATCGGGCTATCAGGGTTACTTTGTCAGAGAGCATACTCGATAACCCGGACTGTCCTTGGCTGCGCGCATGGTGATGTCCACGTACACCTCGGCAAATGCTTGCTTCCTGTATCAACGGGCTTCATTTCGGTGTGAAGCCTTGCTCACCGTGATTGTACGGCTTTAGAACCGTGAAATCCTCTGCTGTGAGATGCTCTGCGATCTCTAACTGGCTTGACTTTCTCAAGCAGCCTCCGGTCGAAGTCTGGCCCTGCTTATGTGTTTGACCAGGGGCTGCAAGGATCACATTGAAGATTCCTCGGCTGTCGCGTGATCCCTGCAGAGCTGTATGATGCATCGTATGCCTCTCTTGCAGTTGCATGGAAATGCAGCAGCCCACAGTCATTGTCAAAACCGTCCAATTGCCTACTTCTGTGCAGGGCCGTGGCTCCCATGGAGACAAGCATGTAACTCAGCACGTAGGAGAGGACAAAGGGCCAGCCAAAGACAGAGGACATTACCGAGGCAATGGGTGCACCTGCAGCGAATTTGCGATTCACGATGGTCAGATGTACAGATGTCGACTCTTGACGCGCACAACTTCATCGGAAGCTTAGACTGATGAAGTGCATCGTGAGCCCTCCCCGTCTCGCCTGTGTCGGCGAAGCACTCGCCCGAGAAGCACCGAAAGGAAGTGAACATGGACCTGAGTTCCAGATCTCAACTGTCAAGCTGTTGCTGGTCGAAGCCTCTGGCTAGTGTATAGGCTGACCAAGACAAACCGCTAATCTTGCGCGGCTCTGCGGAGATTTGGCCCAAATCGTGCAAAGGTGCTGCGGGATGTTCTCGAAGTGGCCTTGGAGGTCTCCTGCAGGGGGATTTTGATGCGCCGTTCTATGCGTTTCTGTGCACTTTCTGCTGTGTCGTTGTACTGCTTTGATTGGCGTGCAATCTCGTGTTTCGAGGTCCAAGCTCTCGCTCGCATGAAACCCGCCATTTGCACACAGCATGCCAAGAGCTTCGCCAGGCGGTGTTTAGCCTCGTGGGACTTGCAGCTTGATCGCGGTTAGGCTAAAGGGGCTATGTTTGTCGCTGCCCCGCAGCTGCACAGTTTCAGTGGGGCTCGGCCCAAGCAACACTGTGAGACGCGCGTGACATGACATGGGCCTCACAGTCTAGTAGTGGAGTCCAGTAGTGCTCCGTCCTGGAGTGCGACTATCACGCCCGATGGTCATCGTGGCGAACCCGGCGATAACATAGAGGACCTGCTTTGTTTGGCTTTCGCTCAACCTGTTCTGCTGCCGGGTGGGAATGCCCTGTAAGGGCTTATACAGCACTTAAGCGCACGTAACCATGCCCAGGCACTGCAAACAGCAGGGCGAAGGCGAGCAGCAGAGTGCGGATCCCACCAACCAAGCCCTTGATCATGAGACGCAGCTCCTGCAGTCAGACGGAATTCGCAGTCAGCGCTATGACATGGAGTTGACGTCTGTCACACCAGACCAAGCCGTTTTCACTTGAAGTGGATTGCAAATGCATTCTTGAAGAAAAGTTCGGTTCGATGCCGCATGCTGGGAGTAGAGAGGCGTGCAAAGGATGATAAACCTGCTTGGCCGACTGCTTCTGAAGGTCCTTCATGTAGTTCAAGCGGAATACTTTCCTCAGCGTCACGTCTGAACCCAGGCTGAAAGTCTCGTCCACTCGCTTCATTCCAGAGTTCTATCGACTCGGCAGCAAGGTCCCCAGGCCTGTTTGCAATACACTGCTTGCCATGTATTGCTGCAGTGGGATCCTGCTGTCAGACGTGCCTGTTTGAACAGTGCTGCATAGCATGATCCTTCTGGCTGCCGCACTTGCAGCGCTGTGGCTTCTTCGTCTAGGAGTCTGGCTATTGGGCTCGAGAGTTCTTGGAGTTGACTGGCTGATTGGTCATGTCATGTTCAGCAGAAAGGCTAAACGGTAAAACACGCCAGAGGCTGAAAGAGCTTCTGACGGTGAGCACCCCGAATGGTCCATGCGCGAAAGTCACCGAAATGGCAATGCTTTTCCTTGCAGCTTCGGCGTCACCACACGAACCAGCCGTATCAGGCGGCAGAATCGTAACAGTGAGGCACCGAACATGTCCGAGTTCTCCTTCTACAGCTGCGCGGAAAGCTTGCAGGAAGTCTTCGGCAACTGAATGCACTTCAGCGAAGGGTGCCAGTGACACTGGTCCTGCATGGTGAGCTGGAAAACCACGTCCGTGACTGCCTTGAATCGAAGTACTGCTTGCATCGAGCTGTGCCAGGCAGCAAGCAGGTCTCTCTGACGGTCTGCAGCACTCACCGTCTGAGGAGCCAACTGTGCATACCAAAAACAGATCGAACAGGTTCCAGAGCCGCTCCTGATTTGCAAACCCGTCCAGAGGGCATCGAAGAACTGTCAAGGTCTGCAAGAAGCTTGTCTTGTCTTATCTGTCATATATGAAACATAGAAAGACTGCTGCCTTGTAGCAGCCACAAATCCAGAACCTCAAACTCCTAAGCGCAGACCTCGGGCACGATGTTGCTGCTGTTGCTGTTGCTGCTGTTGTTGTTGTTGTTGTTGTTGTTGTTGCCGCTGCTGCTGTTGTGGTTGTTGCTGCTGTCGCTGCGTCGTTGCTGTTGCTGCTTATTGGTACCATCAATGCCTCCGGTATTGCCCTTGTCGTGAGACTTGTTCTCGTTGTCACCCTTGCTGTTGTACTCGACATCATCACACACATCATTCAAGGTGCCTGAACAACTGAACAGTTGCTGCCGGCATGCAGACGAGCAGAAGAAGCCCCAAGGGCCCCCGGAGAGCCAGACTCGCATGCAGCATTCCAGCACCAGAAGAACGGCCTCGAGTGCTTCAAGTTTAGCACCGCTAGGGTTCAGGTGTCAGGTTATTGCAAATGCAATATCTGATTCGTCCTGTACTCAAGGCATTCGGGCTTCTGGGTTTTAATTCACCCAACCTCTGGCGCGCACGGTCTATCGGCTTCAAAGATCGGAAAGGTTCTGATGTACCATGGACATGTGGCGATGGACAGCAGTTGGCTTGACCTAAATGGGGCGGCTCGCCTTGCTGCTGCTAACTGCGACTAAAACGACGTCTGTGATTGTTCTACTGCTACTAGCTGCTGCTAACTCCTGCAAAATCTGTCTAAACACTACTAACTGCTACGAACTACTGCGAACTACCACTACTACGACGACGACGACGACTGCTGCTACTACTACTACTACTACTACTACTACTACTACTGCTACTGCTACTGCTACTACCACTTCTACTACTGCTGCCATCTGCTAGTGCCGTGTGCGCTGTGGTCCGGCGCATTCTGGCGCTTGCCCAGAAGACAAGGTGCCAAGCTTTCGCTACTACGCTTACTACGTCTACCGCTCCTTACTCCGTCTCCTATTCCTACTGCTGCTGCTACTGTTACCACGACTAGTAGTGGTAGTAGTAGTAGTAGTAGTAGTAGTAGTAGTAGTAGTACTACTGCTACTTCGACAATACTTCTACCAGTGCCACTGCCACGCTGCCGCTACACCACTGCTGCCGCTGCTACTCTTACTAATGAGCGTCGTCTCACTACAATGTCAATGTAGCAATGATGCCAGTCAGTCGTCATAGTAGTGAAGCAGCATGTGCAAAGATGTGCAAAGTTTACAAATGACGCGAGTGGAAACTCCATAACAGCGGCAACGACATCGTACTGGTATTGCGGCGGAAGTTCGGCCTACTGCTACTAGTACGACCTCCGAAGAAGCACAGGTGTCGAACTCCTGCTCGGCCAGTCCAAGCTGCGAAGACCAGCTCCACGTAAGGCCAGCCGGGCCAGTGCTCAAAGCGGGGGTCCGTCTGGAAGCCGATCAGAATACCGTTCCTAGAAGCGTGTTGCAACTGTTCGTGCTGTCGAACAACCAGTCTGCCATGAGAGTAGGGGCGGAACTGTCCACATGCAGAAGATGCGTGGGCGGCTGGTAAGGTGGCAAACTCGTCTTCGCGCTGGATAACATTCGAAGAACGAAGTCTGGAATTCTATCAAAAAACCGATACAAATAGATGTATGTATGTCTATATAGGTATACATGTATATACTTATACAAAATATGTCGTTCTAACTGGATGTACTTATAAAAGGTGTATATATGCATATATGTATGGTTTTACATATGGCTATATACATATACATGCACATACACGACATGGATAGTTATAGAGGCAGACGAGATATAGTGGTTCAATACAAATACACATAAATGAATACATATATACATATATATATATGTGTAAAGTATGTATGTGTATGTATGTATGCATTGTCTGCATGCAAACCCCAGAAACATCCAAGGCGATGCACCCTCGTGTGAAACGTGTGGCCAAGACGCTACACTATGCAGTACACCGCACCCTCAGTGTATCGACCACTCCTTTACTGCTTTCTGCTCAGGGATCACCAGAATCAGCATGCAGACCACAGGCTCGATGTAGAACCTCTGCTTGAGAACAGGTACTATGCTTTCAGGGGCGCACCCTAGACGAGGGCTACAACAGTACAGATCCTGGTCTGCACGCTTTGTGCTATGCCGAAGTGCAATGCGTCCACGGCCTCTGGCGGTGCGGCCAAGTCGTTGATACGGACCTCTGAAGTCTGAGGCAGCTGAGCTAAGGCAACCTCCTTGGCAGACCCTTCAACGGAACTGCCGGGTTGCAGCACCCGGCCATGCGCTGACATTTCTGGCTGGGCGCCAGCCATGTGTCCATGAGCACAAACATTCGTGGGTATCTCTACGTGTTCATGCGTACACTGTAACGGCTTGTCACGAACCCCACTCCAATGTCGTAGCTACCGTTGATTCAGCCGAAGAAGCGAACGTCAGCTCGGCCACCAGCTTGTTTGTGTCGCCGGCCAGAAGAATCTCCCTCATGGCCTCTGCCAGTTACATGTCTTAATTCTTCCTATGCTGGGAGTTCAAAACATCTTCAAGCTATCTCTCGGCGCGTGTGTAGGGCTCATACCGAACCTACAACTCCGCGGGGTCCCTTTCTGCCGAGATCGGCTGAGACCTCTCCTCAACAAGACGCATTCTACAAATATCGATCGGGGAAGTCCTGCGTGAACCTTCAACCTCGCCCGGCTTCGGGAATGAGATCCCCATATATTCAACTTGCTCAACCAAGTCCCCTGCCTGAAACTGTTTTATCGAGCGGGCTGCAAAGATGCGCCGTTGAATCTCTGCATCCTCACAGGGATTGCAATAATCCGATGGTCGAGATGGTGCATTACCCTCTCTGGATCCTCCATGCCGTCTGACTAAGAGCTACCTGCTACCCTTTGCCATCTTGCCAGCACATGCCCGCACCAGCACTTCTTCAAGCAGCTTGATTAGCGACCCCTGTCTGGTCTGACGGGCGAAGCGATCAGAACAAGATTGCTCTGCACGCGGAATGTCTTGACAAACCCTAAGGAGCTGGACACCCAGGTGACACTGTGTGCAGGCAGTCATGAGCCATCATGCACACGGCACACAGTACAACAGGGAGTGCACCCCGAGAGCCGATGATGAGGACCCACTGAACGGAAAGCGAAAGCGGACGAACGTTTTCCAGGGCATGCGGATCAAAACGCTGGATGTAGGGCGTGAGTCGCGAGTGCCCCGAAGCCTCCATTTTACAGTGAGCTTAGCAGAATGGCCGGTTGTATGCAGGGTTTGGGGGGCACTGTGCACGCAGTGCCCAGATCGACAGCCCTTGCAACATTTTGTGGTGAAGAGGGTGTGTCGTGCTACACCTTCGAACGGCGAGTATAATGGCATGTGCAGTAGCTGCGACGTGTGCATGCCGCCTCGGAATCTGCATGAAGCCTGCTTGGAAGCTTTGGGGGAAAGAGAAGCAGATTGATTATGTGTGCACTGTCAAAGCGTAGTGTGCATGTGTAGTGCTTCACGGTACCATGCAAGGAGCTACGACCACCAGTTCCAAGCACTCGCCAAATGCTTCAACCCGCCCATGTCACCTTCCGGAGAAAGATGTCCATGAGCGCTTTGGCAGGCACGACATTAAAGTCGAAGCTTCCATGTTCAGCCGTCGTCGTCTCAGTCTGCGCTCCCTGCAGCGGAGGCGATGCAGCAAGCATACGTACGAAGGCCAGCCGACAAGACCTTGAGGCTGGAACGGTTTAGAGCCGACGCTTCTACTTTGGCTTGCCTTCTCCATAGTTGGCCACTGCCAAACTGCCTTGCCCAAGTTCTCGTGCTCCTGCACAGGATCAGATGATACGGTTGACTTCCGCAGGCTGGATCTCTGTGCTGAAAAACATGCTCAAAACAGGGAAACTGTGCCTGAGTCGAGAACATGCTGTTCGTCGACCGGCCGCGTGTCAGCTGAGAGTCCTGCGAGCTGCGTCGACATCCCTGGGCCTTCCCAGCCTCCGTTGGTGTCTTTTCGGCTTGAGCACGCGTCTCGGGATTTATCTGTGGCATCCCAAGATGACACTTTGCTGCTCCTGCTGCTTGACGAAGCGAAGGTTGACAAAGGCTGCCATTGCATTCACCAGGTCATTCATGTCCTCCGGATTGGCGGCCATAACTTTAGTTGCAACTCCGCCCTGAAATGGTCACAAACCTCGCTGGCAGCACACGGATCTTCAGATCTGCATCTGCCGCAACGAACGAAACCAGAATCTATCCATGAAGTAATTAATGCGGCATCAGGTGTGCTTGAAGTCTAGCAAATCAATGCCAATATCCAGCAGTTTCCGAGGCAACTCCAAAGCAACGTCCCAGGCCTCGACTGTGTATGTTGTCAAACCCAAAGAGGTCACTGCATCATGCAGATTCCTGTGGACTTGCTACGGGAGGGTCCAGCCCAGAACTGCTTCGAAGGGAAGTCAATTAAGGCCTCAAGCCTCTTGTCTCTGTAAGCTAGTACATGCTGCAGTTGCAGCATTGAGGACCGCGTGGATACTTCGGGCATCTCTCTGAAATTTGCTGTGCACATCTATTTGGATCAGCTGCAGTGGCTCGAAAACTCAGGGACACCCCTTTGCAACGAATCCTTTCAATAAGTCGAGTTGTGGTGGAAACCTTTGTCAGAACTTTGGGTCGAACCGCGAATGCAACAAGGCAAGTGCGCAGGCGAATGGGGAGTAGCAGGGTTGAGCCTCCTGCTTTGACGAGCTACAGCAGCGAGAATCTACAAAACTCTGTGTTTGCTCAAGGCACGACTTCGGATATCAACCCCGTGCAGGGTTTGATGCAAGGATGATGAATGATCACTCGCCCGTTTGAACTTTGCAGATCCGGCATTTCTTGTTCCTGACTCCTGTTTCTGTCTAGCTCCGGCAATACCCCTGAGGCCCAAGGCAGGCACAAGCGCAGCTCAGGTGCTTTCCCGATATCAGCTGTTGTGAGGAGAGGATATTCAACCGCACCTCCAAGCCAGCTTGCGGATGACTGGGCTGGGCATTTCAGTGTCTCCGTGCGCGCGCGATCTACATTGGCCATGCAAAGCCACAATGTGTCGCTCCCGAACTCAATGCCCATGCTAGCTGTCGATTTCAGCCGTCACCAAACCATTTATGATTTGGGCTCTAGATTAAACAATAAGGGAAACTGAAATTATCCCCTAATGCCCCTAATCGATAACTCACATGTCAGCCCTGCTTCCAACTCTCGTCTGGGCATGTCCACCAAGACAGACCCTCACGCGCCTGCAGCCTGTGTCGAACAGATTTCTGTGCCGCCGGATCGGTGGCCTTTGTCCGAGCAGCTCTGCATCAAAGGCTGGCCTGAGCTTGCCTGAACAATGCCCTGATTCGGGTGTTGGTACTCTGCAGCTCGAACGCGACTTCTTTCCGTACGTGCCGGCAGCCCGGCCTCTGCTCTCCATGAAGTGTTGACGGCGGCCTCCTGCTCCAATGCCTTGCAGCGGCGATTTCTGTACGATCGCCAAGATTTCAATCTTCGTCCAGATTCGCGCAAGGAGTCGCGGCTTCCCGGCTTTCCTATCCGACTCATGGGAAGGAATTCGAAAAGGCCCGGCCTTCATGCCTGGGCTGCGGATGCTGTCCACGCCTGCGACGCGATGGTACTGCCCTGCTCTGGAATCTTCGATGTGGGCGGGCTTCCCTCGCTAAGCATGAGTCGAAGCAGCCTGCTCGGGTTGACCAAAGAGTTAATTTCCCTGGGTAACGCCTGTTCTGTGGCCAAAGGAACGAAGGCATCAAGCACCATGTCTTGGTGCGATTTTCTGGCATGCTGTAGTGCTTTGTCAGCATTGCTGCAGGGGCAGTTGCTGCTTGCTGCTGCTTCTCGCGCCGTGACAGCACGATTGTCTCCCAGGAAGTCGGTTTGTCAGGTAGCGAGCAGATCGCGCGTTCCCTTTCAGTTCCCTTTGCGGCGTTCGCTGCGAAATCCGTACGACTTTAGCATCTTGCTCCCTCTATTGCAAAATTGCTTGACCATGGCTTCAGCTATGTTCAGTTTGCACACGATAATGTCAAGCTCTTAGTAGCAGAAGCTGTGTGCAGGTGAAATCTCCCTGAAGTTGCTTCGCCGTGCGATTCAGACTTGTCCTTCGACTTGCAAGGAGGAACAATGCTGCTCCCACATTGCTCCTACGGCAGCACGTGGAAGAGGCACCTTCGGAGCTGAAAGTCTTCGAGTCAGTCGCCGGCCTCCTTGGACATTGAGGGTGAGAACATCCGACTGCTTAGAGGCTGCAAGCCGAGCGGCTTCGCCTAGCCAAGGTTGCGCCACTCTTGAATTGAATGAAGTCTCCCATGCGCCCTACGACCCTACGAGTCGTTCTCTTGCAGTCCATTGCAGCCGAACTTCCAGCCGGGCGACTCCGCCTGCCCAGCCGTAAGCATGAAAGGATTTTGGGCTTTGGGGTCTAGGGTGAGAGTGTGGAGGAAAGCTATCAAACGCTGTGGCAACGATTACCCCTAGCCTTCTTCCATACTTCGGCCACTAAGTCCAACAACACGGAGAGGAATTGGGGGTGTGCTGACGAGTTCTCCAAAAGCCTCAGCACAGCCAGTTTGACCGATTTGCATCAAGCCGAGTAAACTTGTGCTTGCCCGTACTATCAAGACTCAGTGCTTACCAAACATCGCAGCTTGAGGTCAACCAAGCTTAGGGATTACTTCATTCACAACATAACTATCGCTGCGGCCGTATCATAGGGCTGTTACGTCTAAGGCCTCACCTTGATTTTCTGCAAGAGCTCCAGGTGTGCTGATAATGTCGGATCGTCCGCAGCAGTGTCGGCATGTGCCTGCATTCGCAATGCAGAAACCGGTGGGCAGTCCTAGAATGTCTCGAACCACTGCTGATGTGCCCGAAATATCGGTCATACCTTCAAGAGCCCAACCTTGAAAGGACTTTCGTCGACTAAGCAATCTAATCGGCTCCACTGCTTTGGCCTCCAGAAGTGTGTGGCGAAAGCCCTGCCACGCAGCGTCAAGCACCTGACCAACGCAAGAGAGGATACTACTATGGTACTTGTAGGAACAAGGTCTGCGCAAGCAAACGCATGCTCGATTACATCGATGCATCAAGATTAGTCAAGCAAATTTCAGCCGGACGTTACGAACTCTGGTAGTACGTGTGCAGGGAAGTCGCGAAACGAAACGGGAACCGGGAATCGAAACGTAAAGAAACGAACCGTAGGGAAACGCACGAAATACCGAACCGAAACGAATGGAAACGCAATGTCGGCCGCGTGGAAACGAACCGACACGAAACGCAAAACCGCAAAGAAACGCAACGAAACGTCGGGCCCAAATCTCGGATATCCCTCCACGGACAACAAGGAAACGCAGCCCTAAATATCGCGGCAGGGCCGGACAGGCAAATGTGCCAGGTTTTTGGGCTCGCAGCGCCTGGAAAGCCCAAAAACCTGGCACATTTCGCCTCCTTCTCCCTGCTACTACTACCACCAGCACTACTACTACTACTACTACTCCTGCTTTACTAACTTCCGGAACTCCTGTTGACCAAAGTTTATTGGCGTTTGGACGATTTTGTGCCAAATCTCGGATATCCCTCCACGGAAAAGGACAAGTAGCTCTAAACGCCGCGGTAGGGCCGGAGAGGCCAAAAGGCGGCCCCAGCCGTCCGCAGGCGAGACGAATCGAATCGAAACGCCTGGTTCCCTCCCAACGATACGAAACGCAACGATTCGGTTCCTTATCCCGCACGATTCGATTCGATTCCTTATGTTCTTGCTGGACACGCATACCCTTTGAGCGAAACGCATCCTTCCTGGTAGTATCAGTTAGTCATCGCAACATTGATGACCGAACGTAAGAACAACACCACAATACCGACTGAACACTGAGCGGGACGACTGGATCAGGTGTTTTCCGTGACCTTGCCTCTGCGAAAGGCTCTTTCGGCGAGGATTTCTCTACCATGGCTGCGCAGGGCGGGGGTGGATCTACCACCGAAGGTTCGTTCCGTTTTCCGCCTGACAGCATCGGCTAGGAGCTGAGGACCCGGGCTGCTCAAAGGAGCATGGCCCAGGGGCCCAGGCTTGACAAGAACGGGACCAGAGTTGTGGTATTTTGTCTGCGCTGCTACTGCGCTGCTACTGAAGAGCGTGGACTTGGACCGGTCCTGCAGGGATCGAGACTCGCGGCTCAAACCGCATCTTGGAACAAATGAACATCACTGAACCAATCCAAGCGTGCTGCACGGTTTTCCTGTCGCGCAGTACGCACAACGGAAGCATCGCCGTTAGTCCAGAACTCGAAGGACTAAAGCGATGTCCAACACATGCCAGCATGGCTGCAAGCTATCATGCGCTGAAATGCTGGTAGGCAGCCTGGGCAAAAAGGAAAAACGCATCTTCTGCGTGGGCTCTAGTCAGATCGACCCTCGTTGCTCCGAGCTTCGACAAAACTTGCATGCCTGGACGGCGACATGGCATCGTGCCTCGAATCTGCAAACCCCGTGAACATGATGGAGGCATGAGGTTCGGACACGTTTACTTGTCTATCTGGGAGAACGGACCTGGGACGATCTTGGGATCGACAGCCCATGGAATGCTGCGATGTTCTTCGTTCCTCGCCTTGCCCAAGGTTCGCAGCTTTGGTGCGCAACTCCTTTGTGTGCGTGTGTGTGTCTCTGCGAGTGTGGCTACCTTACACAGCATGTGAAGCTTCCGAAGGACTACATACACGTGATCCTGTATCTACTGATACAACAGACATTAGCTTAGTTCAAACCAGGAGCTGGCCGAGAGTCGGGTTGCAAGATATTCTACGGGCATTGCGCAATTGCGCAGTAGGTGAGACCATGATGAAACGGCCGGTTAGGGCGTAGAGATCGAATTTACTGGCCTGCGTCGTCGCTGCACTACGAACGACAAGCGCGCTTTGACTGACTGCTGATGTTGCCAGCATTCCATTCTGACCACAAGCCTAGTGCACAACGAAGTTCTAGGCCATCTTTGCACTTGAAGGAAAATTCTGGATCATGCGTGATTCCAGTTCCGACAGCGTGTTGCGCATCTCCTGGGAGAGAGTGGACCCCTGAGGATGCTAGCATTGTTTCACAACATGTGGGTCCTGAGCAACCACATGCACTGCCACGTCTAGCACTGCTCCTTCGAGTTGGTTGCAGAAAACTGGCTCGAATTGCATGCCGGGACTCCGAGACCATCTCTTGTAGTGCCTTCGTTGCCAGAAGCGTTGCCACAGTGTCGCTCTTCTTGACGTCTCCGCGGATCTTCAGCATGCCCTGCGATGCTGTCATGGAAAATTCACTTCCTAGCGAGCCACTGAGCATGCTGAACCTGAACCGGCTAGTCTAACGCTTGCAAAGCTACATGCAGGCCTGCACAAGCTCAGTGACGTCCATTGTGCCACTACCATCCGCGTCGATGACCTTGGCAAAGAAGCGAGTTGGCGCAGATGTATCAGATGTATGATTGCATGTTGTAAGCTTCTTAGTAGAACACCGCCATTGGTCTTGACAGAATCGAGGTGCTTACCGAAGGGCCAGGTCGAATCCTAGAGTATTCTCGGCACCAAGTATGTTTTGCATATTCCTTATGGCTTCTTGTTCGCATCAGGGGATATCATGCGTGTTTACATCCCGTTCAGCGTGCCCGGCCTTTCCTGTGCTCATTTTGCATTCGATGCTCAAGCAAGGTGTAGACGTAGGAATCGATGGACCGAATACTTACAAAGCAACCTGGAATGAACGAAGCCTGCAGCCTTGGCGAAAAGGACCTACACTGCCCGCAAGTAAACTGGTCAAACTTCCGAGCTGAACCCTAAACCCCAAATCCGAAGCCGTAGGTACAAGCCAGAATGAACGTGATGCCCTCACTAAGACTGGGCCTGCCATTGTATCCACCGTCTTAATACTTGGACTAGGAATTTTGGGCTATACTTTGTATTCACATTGGGGAATGTGGTGTAGTAGTATTTTTCATTAACTATTCAGGACATATATTGGAGGCGCCAGCCTCAAAGAGGTTTGCCCGGTCAGGCGGGAGATCGAGATCGTCCATCAAAGCCTGCACATTGCGATCCTGGCAATGGCAGCGTCACAAGGACTGCCGCAGTTTTGCTGAAACCCCGGTTAGAGACACCGCGCTTCACTTCAAAAAACCCAGAAGCGAGTTTGCTTTTGTCGGCATTCGGAATATCGAAGTTGATATTGGCGTGAAGTTTGTGTGCTAACACACTGGATCACTGCTTCGATAATGTTACTATTTGTTCCGTGGGGTCTACGAGCTACTTCGAGCTACTGTATGATCGGTTCTGCTGTAGTTGGAGACTGGGTCTCTGTGGAAAAAGCCTGCTAGTGCAACAGCCAGTCATCATAAGACTAGCAGGAAAGCAGTAGTAGCGGTGGTACTAGAAATAGTAGAAATGGTTGCCGTCGTCGTTGTAGTAGTTGTGAACGTGGCAATTGTAGTGGTTGTGGCAGTAATAGCAGCAGTATAGTCGTCGTCGTGGCAGAGGTAGTGGCAGTGGCAGCGGTAGCGGCAGGGCCAGTGGCAGTAGGCGTAGTAGGCGTAGTAGGCGTAGTAGTAGTAGTAGTAGTAGTAGTAGTAGTAGTAGTAGTAGCAGTGGGCAGCAGTCGTAGTAGTAGTAGTAGTAGTAGTAGTAGTAGTAGTAGTAGTAGTAGTAGTAGTGGTAGTAGTACGTAGTAGTACGTAGTAGTACGTAGTAGTAGTAGTAGTAGCAGCAGTAGTAGTAGTAGTAGTAGTAGTAGTAGTAGTAGTAGTCGTAGTAGTAGTTGGAGCAGCATTCGCAGTAGCAGTAGCAGGAGTAGCAGTAGTAGTAGTAGTAGTAGTAGCAGCAGTAGTAGTAGTAGTCGTTACTGATTGTAGTTACTCGTAATAGTATGCAATAGTAACAGTAGCGGCGGTACTGGCGCCAGAGGTCGTGGTGATACTCTTGTGTCCTCCTCATTCTTATCCCAACACAACACACTCAGGGCCACGTCGCCCAGTGCAGGCATCTAGGGCCTAGGGATTTGAAGGGCACAGCTGGCACTATGATGTCAGCCGATCGTCACGGCATCCATATCCTCAAGCTACATTCCTCACTCTTAAACATGCATGCAGCTGCCTGGATGACAAGCAAGAACAGCTCCTTGCTGAAGGCCTGTGAAAACTTCCCCCCAGGCTGCTTAGCATGGAGAAAGGCCAAAGTTTTCGAAGCAGGCGACGACAGCCCATGGTAGCGAATCAAAGACTGGCAGTGGCAAACACATGCTCACTTCACTCGTTTTACCATGGGCTCGGGCGGCGGTCTCGCTTAAGGGTTCCTTCTTCCGACATCTCAGGGTCGGGCAATATCATTGATGTCTTCGTCGGTGTATGCAACGGTGTTCTGCGAATCAATCTTGAACTTTTGTCTGTCCTAGGCGTGCTGCAGCTCGAGTTTCTGGTCGCACGGCTTACTTGTCCATTTCTCTTTCGACCTGCTAGGATGTGATCGGGGGATGAATGGCTCCGGCAGCCCTTTCCGCGAACCCTGTCCTTGCCGCACTTGCCTATAGTAAGTCACAATCATATCGTGGCTACGAGCACTACGGCTGCCCCGGATTGTCCAAGTCAAGATCCAGGAGGCCCGAACGAATCATTCCACAAAAGACAGCAAGCCCGGCAAGCGCATCTCCTAGGGTCCTAGATGAGGACAATTCCCTTGCATCGCCCAGGGTCCGGTTCGTCGAAGTCCTGGTACAAGCGGTAAGCCTGCAGCTTGACAACATGACAAAATCATGTCAAAGGGGAAGGTGAGGCTCCAGAAGCGGATTGCACCCAAGACATCACTACGAAGACAACATTCCATGACAAGGTTGATCAATGTTTTCGCTGATCAATGTTGTCGCCATTGCCAATTCTTGTATGGTAATTGCTACAGCAGTATGCTTACATGTGTTACCATTGACCCTTTTGGTATTGCCAGTGCCGCAGCATCATGTCCGCAGGTGTTAGATCTCACGTGGCTACTGCCACTGCCACTGCCAGTCCTACTGCTACTGCTACTGCTACTACTACTACTACTACTACTACTACTACTACTACAGCTACAGCTACAACTACTACCACTACTATTGCTACATTACATTACCGCTACTGCTACTGCTGCTGCTATCTGCTACTGCTACTGCACGACGACTACGACTACGACTACTACTACCACCATGACCACTACCACCACTACCACCACTACCACCACTACTACCGCTACTACTTACTACCACTACCACTACCACTACCACTGCCACTGCCACTGCCACTGCCACTGCCACTACCACTACGATTACTACTACTACTACTACTACTGCTGCTGCTAGTACCACTGGTGCCACTACTACCACTACTACGGCTACCACTGCTGCTAATCCTACTACTGCTGCTACTCCTACTAACCCTACTCCTACTCCTACTACTCCTACTCCTACTCCTACTCTTACTCCTACTCCTACTCCTACTCCTCCTCCTACTACTACTACTACTACTACTACTACTACGACGACTACTACTACTACTACGACGACGACGACTACTACTACTACTACTACTACTACTACTACTACTACTACTACTACTAAAACAACAAGCACAACAACAACCGCCAACAACGACAACAGCAACAACAACAACCACGACCACGACCACAACCACAACAACAACAACAACAACAACAACAACAACAACAACAACAGCAACAGCAACAGCAACCACAACCTCAACCACCACCACCACCACTATTACTACCACCGCTACTTTACGAGTTCCATGAGGACGACGGTGACGACGGCGACCAAGAACAACACCACCACAATCACGCCAGCACCACGATGACGACGGCTTGCTGTTGCTACTGTCTAATCTTGTTGCCACTATCTGCAAGGTGGTCATATTCATGGCGTTCTCGTTTGTTCGACTCTCTTCTTACTACATGATTGCCCGGATCATCGTTACGACGACCAACACCACCACCAAGACCAGCACTGCCACCACGACAACGACTTCCGGTTGTTGTTCAGAATTCTGCAAGGATGGTGATGATATCCAGTAATTCGGACCAGGCTTTGTTGAGACCTCTGCGCATTTCGGCAAGCTGGCCTGGGCAAACTTCTTCAGCAACTCGCCTCGAAAGGCAGTTAATTCGAAACAAGACTGAACCTTCCTTGCACGGTTTTGGGGCCCATGAGAGAGCATTGACTGGAACATGGCATGGCTTACTGTGTGGAAGGGCTGCTGCATGTGTTTAGTCGCGGAAGCTGATCGACTGTTGCCTGGAATGGGATTAATGGCTCCTTTTACTTGGCCCTCAAAGTCTTCCGACGGATGTGGAGCCAGACCCTCAGGAACACAGCTTGCACGGGCGTCTCCGATGCGCAGACTTGGCACCCGGCGAGTAGTTCGAGCAATTCGGATCGACTCGCGTGCATGCTGCTCGGAAGTCACAGCCTCCGTTTCCTGCAGGGATGCAGATGTGAGCCCTTCTCTCTAGTGGGCTGTCGGATGAAGACTTAAGTGGGGCGTCTTGATTCTGAAGCAGGCCAGCTCAGAATGCTTGATGACCCAAGCCCTACTGGCTGACTCCACCTTTGCCGCCCTCATGGTGATGTCCACGTAGACCTCGGTTGACTTCGAAGCTCCAATAGGCTTGGGCCTCGTTGCCAGTCAGCTTCAGCTTCACCGCCACTGCGATAGCATCATGTCACAAAGTGGGGCTGTGTGGACACAAAAGCGACCTGCAATCACCCCTGAAGATAGATCTTGGGAGCCTCAGTACTTACAAAAGCCATGCTCATTTGACGAAGGGAGGCCGCCAGGATGACGTTGAAGATACCTTTGCTGAAACAAATAACAAGGAATCGATACCATCGGACGACGGAGTGTTGGTCGCCTCGTTTTGTCCAGCTCGACATGTGGCCATGGCAGCATGCCGCGGTGAGCAGCAAGTAGTAGAAGCACAGGAAGCAGCAGTAGCAGTAGTAGCAGAAACCGCAATTATGCAAGACAGCAAAGTTCTGAATCCCACTTGCTGGGGCAATAAGATGTTTTTCAATTGATGCGATGCACTCCTTTATCGAATGCAGCATGCTCGGCACCAGAACGGTTCTGAGCAGTCGCGAAATGGAGCCCAAAACATGACTGTGGACAATCACAACAGCACTGATTGTGCACCATGACCTGGCTCATGACTAAGGTCAATTATTGCCAAAGCCAGCCGGAAGGATGATGTGGACGCATGTCATCCGCGCTTCTTTGCAACGAGACCCACTTGAAGATCCATCAGGTAGATAACGTTTCCGTGTAACCCTGCAGGGGCGGTGTTGGACATATCACGCTGCTCGGAGCTGCGGCTCGGAATTGAGTCTGCAAGCTACGCTAGTAGTGTTGAGTTTGTCATCAACCCGTCCACGGTCTCCTGTCGCGCCTGTCGCGGAGCACTGTGTTTTTCTGCCCCATCATTGTGGTTGCTCCGAAACCCTTGTACAATTACCGCAACTACCGCGGTCAGTTTTGCACACCTAATTTCCCGGGTGATGGATACAAGCTGTGCCATTCAACTGCTCTTGCGATTCTCCTTCTTGCTACATACCATGGTTCCATATTCGTACATCTTTTTCTTTTGCTTATGACTCATGATGGTTAGCCAACAGCTGTGTTTACTGAAGCTTACTGTTTCTCGAAGGACGGCAGTTGAGCTGTCAGCAGGTAATATCTCAATCCCTGCCCAAGGGCCAAGAGCCACGAGCATGTAAGTGACGACATAGCAGAAGACGAAAATGAAGCCAAATTTCTGCAGGGTCAGGTTGGCAGCGCATGGAATCAAGGATCCGCATCCCTGGACCCTGCACCACATTCTGCCTACTTCGGGGTCCTAAGATTCGCAAGGCTTAGGACTTCTATATAATCCAGTAAACTTGCATTGGCACTCCCGTGTCCTCCGCCAGGAGAACTTGAATTGGCTCGCCTTCCCAAGTTCGGACATAAGCATCTCTTCATTCTGTTCCTTCTACTCAAGCATGCATTGCTTCCACCCATTTGGTGTGTGTCTCCTCTGAAACCAGCCTGTTAGGTGTTGTGACCGTGGCCAGTCTGCTGCACACGTGTACCGCTTGCCGTTCTGTAACATCTTGGTGCTGGGCTATTAGAGGCACGACTTTGATTCTATCCAGCCTCGTGCTGACATGCACTCCCCACTGTAGCAGCGAAAGGCAGTGAACATAGACCTTGGCTGCTGCACCTTCCGAATTTCTCCTCGAATGAATTAATTCTAAGGTCTTCCGGCAGAACATCGCAAACATAACATCTTCGACACTCTGGAAAACTCTGAATCGCAAACCGGTGGTAGACTTGTAATGCCTGCTGGACAAGAATCCAGAGTCCCTAGTGACCCTGGGCAAGCGTGAAGCCTGAGTTGTCCGCTCGAAACTGGTTTATGTTGGTGCTTCTCATCTTCAATCTGCCAAAGGGCTGTGGAAGATCTGCAAACAAATCGTCCAGGCCCATCGCAGCGGTACGATCGTCTCGCCCGATGGTCATCGTCGCAAATCCTGTCCGACTGCTCGCTTCTCAACGGCTGCTGGAACCCTTTGAAGCTCAACATGAGCCAGGAAAGCAGAGATATGGCCAAGTCCCAACGATCTCAGCTTCTAGGCCTGAATCTTCGTCCCTTAGTGGCATCTCCTGAAATCACATATAAAACCGTGAAGAGCAAGGCGAAGGCGAGGAGCAGCGTCCGAAGGCCTCTGCACCAGTCTTCGAATCGGATGTTGGTGTTGTCCTGTTTTGTTCCTGATTTCTTGCGAGACACCGTGTGCAACACCCTAAATATTGCTACGGCAGCTCGAGACGGATGTGCAATGAGCTGAATGTTTCTACATGTAAGATACCAACCGACAAAAACTGCTGAAAACTGTGCAGCTTAGTGTTGATGCTGTTGCTGCTGATGTTGTTGAGATTGTTGGTGATGATGACGGCGGTATTGCCGCCACAGCACCAGCAGCTGCTTGCTAGTGTTTTCGGCACTGATATCACTGTTCGAACGCTTGGGGCGACGCCACAGGAATACAGCCGAACTGCCACCGATGCTGCGAGCAACTGTGATGTACATGGTTCGATAATGCTATAGCCAAATGCGTAAAGGGTATATAATGGCACCGGTTGTCACCTGATCCTGGATTCCATACCCCGCTGCCCACCTGCCACCAGCCCTTTCACCATCAAGCGAAGCTCCTGCACCGCCGTCGGCTGAACAAATGCGAAACAAATGTCGGAGGATGCGTCTGGCCATACGTTAAGCTGTGCTGCAGTACTGCAAGAAGATTTGCCTATCAACATGGCTCTCCTTCATGCACTTCAAGCGGAACACTTTCCTGAAATGCGCTCGGATGATTCTCATGCTCAGGCGTGAGCTCACTCTGTGCGAGCTCGCTGGAGTTTTCAAGTTGGCAGGTCTGCAGAGGCTGACGAGATCGAAAGGAAAGAGAGACTGCAGCCATCACCCCCGCGATCCGAACGCAGCCCGCTCAATTAGGCAGCATGACTCAGCATGACGAATTAATTGTTTGCGGCAGAATGCAACAGATATGTCGAGGTCCTTTTGAGTTGCCGTGGCATCCCAAAACTTTCGCTGCCAGGGAGCACCACACGAACCAAGCGGATCAGGCGGCAAAAGCGCAGTAGGGAGGACGTCCCCCTCGGTACCAGCACCAACGATTTCTGCACGATGCGGCGTCATTCGCAGGACTGGGGAGTGGCGTGAGGCCAAGATGCATATTCTGGTCTAGGTCACCGATTGCCTGTCCAGAAAATTGCACCAATCCAGCACGGAACGGCGACATCGAGTTTTTCTTACTGAGAGTTTCGCAACTGCCTCTGACTGCGTTGTACAGGGCTGCTCGAGATGAATGCCACGGTATACGTGCATCACGGCTAGTTAAGGCAACAGGCCTCGAAACGCGACAAAGATTTTGAGTGGTCTCAGCATGTCCCCTCGTCCTAGCACGTCTCTGGAGGCCAGCTCACTGTACGACATGCAGCGCTGCCTGAATGACGACATCTGTCACTCCGGTCAACATGAGAAAGAAGTCAAACCTAAGATCGACATCCACAGAAATGGGGTGTTGCCTTCCCTAACGAGTGTAGAAGCGATGACGCTCCTTGACATACTGTTCCGGTCCCGCCATTACCCCACATCAAACCAGAATCTCAGGTCAAAGGAGTGGGCGCTATGCAGCGAGAAGCCAATTCCACAGCATATCTGGCCCGCAGGCAAACTCGCGAGGCCCAGAGAGATAGAAGCGCAAGCTGCCTCACAGATCCACAATGCCATCCAGAGCGTGTGATGCAGGGCATGACTTCGAAGCCGAAAAAGTCAGAGTTGTTTCTTGTTTCGAAACGCTAGTGGCACAGTGTAACGACGGGAACCCAGCTTTAGACTGCAGCTCCAAGTCTCAGATCGTCTGCAGTGCTTTTTTGGTTTTCGGTAAACTGCGCAAATCTATGCGTCGCGGAATCCGCTTCCAAGGCACTCTCCAGGAGCAGGAAAAACGCCAGCACTCCTGGAACTCGGCCCATCCGGCAGACGAATCCAACTTGCACATGGCGGGCTCCTAATTACTGGCCTTCCCTGGCAAGGCAAGCTTGTGATATCGCCGTCCTTCGATGTAGGGCCAGCCAACCCAGTTTTCCCACCTTCTATCGGTCTGAAAGCCGATCATGATGCCGTTCGCCTTAGTTGGGTGTCAAGTTTGTCCTTGAAGCTTGCAAGCAGTGATGATGATGTGCATGATCGCGATGAAGGTGCAGAGAGAGAGAGAGAGAGAGAGAGAGAGAGAGAGAGAGAGAGAGAGAGCGCGACAGCGAGAGCGAGAGAGTGAGCGAGACCGAAAGATGGCACTGTAGTCAACATTTCCAAAAAACCAGGATCTCTACTCTTGAGGCTGGTTCTTCCCGGACTCCATCGACTTGCAAAGGTAAACTTTAGGGTCCTGGGGCGTCTCGAGGATCTCGCAGCCTTTACACTCTGGGGAGACCTCCCATGAATTTAAGACTGACAGTAGAAGGAACGGAATGGATTGCATGCATCCTTGATCCTTGAACTCTGCACACACTACCTTCTCTGGATCAAGGGACGATGATGAGAAAGGACACGAAGGGCTCGATGTACATGAGCCTGAGAGGACTTTGCTGCGCTTTCCGGAGGTTCGCCGAGCTTTGGTGCACTGGAATGTCGAATGTTGGTTTGCGTTTATCTGACGAGTTCTGCATGCACCACTGCTGAGACGTAGCTGCAACGACACCGCAGGACTCCGACCCACGAATCCCTTGGCCCAGACCCCCCCGCGCCCAAAGAACTGCGGACTGCGGAGTCTTAGGTTGCTCGGCGCGTCGTCAGGAAAATCCTTAGGACCTCTGCAGACTACACAAAGAGCACCTCTCCTGAGCAAAATCGCACCTCCGGGCCCGAAGGGAAGGCTTAGAACCCTCCAAGGGGCGGGTTGATGGACTCCGGCGGTGCCGCGAGGTCATTGATACGCACCTCGGCTTGCCGGGGGACGGCTCTCTGCATGTGACATGCAGAGCTGAAGGTGAGCTGCAGCAGCAAAGTTGACGTGTTGCTCAGGGCTGCGGAGCGTACAAGCGCGAACATCAGAATGCGCGTTCAACTGCTTGCTGCTCGCAGCACGAAGGTCAGCTCCGCCACCAACCGGTTCGTGTCACCAGCCAGAAGAATTTCTTTCATGGCCTTCCGGGCTTGGTCGGCGTCTTGCAGAGCTTCGAAGACTTGGCAGTTTTCAAGCTCATCCTCGTCCCCGGATACCCGATGTGACTCAAGCAGAGGTACAGCCATTGCGGATTCTGCAACTTTAAATGCCGCTAGTAACTACTGGTAGTATATGCTATGGGAGCCTCAAGAATTGGCGCAGTCCCAAAACCTAGTACCAACAGAACCTGGTTGCATCAACTCCCTAGGAAGAGAATCTATTCAGAATTTCAGACCCTGTAACAAGAACCGCACATCACAAGACTCGGGGCTCTTTCGTTTTGCCTGGAACTGCTTCCTGTTGAACGGTCCGAAAATTTTCTTGTGAAGATCCGAATCGCGCGCGAGGAAGAGGTCCATCAACGCCTTCGTGCGAAGTGGCTCGGGCATCCATGCTCTACAGGCTACGAACGCATTGTCACACTGTACTATATTCTGTACTACTACTCCGTACTGTGGACTAATTTCTACCCTGACACTTTTGCTTTGAAGCAGTCTGAAGCATCTGTATCATGCTGCCATATGATGTCATCTGTGTCTGAAAACACGAGCTACTATCCTACAGCGATAATCGCCAAAAAGCCTGTGCTAAGTCTTGACACCTACATTCTATCTGCAAGCTCGAAGACATCCCATGCCAGGGCAGAGGTATGCCGAGGGTGAAGGCCTGAATGGGAACAACATTGGCATTGGCTTTGGCAGGGAGATCGTTGGTTTGGATCTCCCGGCTCGCCTTAGATGTGCAAGGTATGATCCAGGTGCAACACTATATCTTTGCATAGGCATGAGGCCCCAACAACTGCTGGCCTTGTCATGCAGACTGATGACTTTCCCTTGCAGCTGTAGCATGATGGGGGCTAGGTCCTAGGTCTTAACGACTTCGAATGACACTTTATGGGCTCGACATGGCTATAGCTTTGCGAAAACCAGATGGCGGCTCAGCAGACAATATTGTAGACGGCCTGTTCAATTTACATTCGTATGTAGTTCATACGCTGCACTTGCGGTGCTACAATTAGATGGCAACTGAAATTACTGCGGTTGTGCCTTGCCGGGCTCTTCAATTTCGTTTCACGGGCCGTTTTTGAATCAAGTCTTCCCTAAAACACGTACAATGCGGATGCCCTACTTGGTGTGACGGTGACGCTGCATCACCACAGTAGCGATCTGGTGCAATCCCTGACAACCTCTCGCATCGAGACCACCGAAGCTCAGATCTTGTTCTACCACAGTGACTTACAATCAACTTTCCGTCCAGGTCGCGGACCGCGAAAATTCAGCCTCTTTGGGCCAGTTCCATACTGGGCGGCCAAAATTCCGCTCGTTCTCCTTGGCCGCGTGCAACCACTCGCCCAGCCCCGACTCAAGCTCTCAGATGTGAGTCCTACAGCACTTTAATGCAGCAGGTCGGCCCAAAACATGCCACCTGTGTGTGACCCCGGCGAGTTGGAGCGAGCAAACTGCGCGTCCTTGTCCTGAGGGCGGAGCGCGGAGCTCATGCAAGTGTAACCGAAAGCTTGCGACCGTACAGCTTCTTTGTGGCTTTGTCAATTGGGCCGTGAAGAAGTCCTCGAAGGGGCTGGGTCTCTACGAGACAGTCGCTTCGATGAACACACTACATGTGTTTGAAGGGGGATGGATGCAGCCGAAGTTGCTTTGGCTACAAATTTTAAGTCAATGTAGTCAGCCAGCTGATTCACAAGGTCGTTGCAATGCTCCTGCCGTGTTTGCACAGGCTGAGGCGGCACTTCTGCCGAGCTTGCACAGGCGGTCTAAGTCCTCCGAAACCCCTAAAAACCAAATCTACATTCGCTCCGAAACGCCCTCCTACGGCGAATGAGCTCCCAAAGGCCATCAATCAGCTGCTACATTGAAGTTGCAACCTGCGCTGCCGCATGTGCTCCTAACGGCCGACTCAGCAAGATGTTGACACGGTTGACGGTTTTCGACATGCCTGACTGTGGTACTTTCCACGATTGTGACGATTGTCCCATTAGACCAATAGGTTTGGCTCTAGCCTGGCTTTGGCTTCCCCACCCTGCTGATTTCTTGGTGTGGGCCAGCCGGGAGCCGCGGCGAAATGGCGCAGTCGACTGGCCTGTGTTTAAGTGTGTCCTTTTTGGCAGGGTGAGCATGGGGTAGTCTGCCCACCAACGCTGACCATCCCACTGCATCTGCACCTCCCACCTGCACGGGGTTGCCCAAAGCTGGCCCTCCTGAGTCTTCCTGTCATTCCTGTCTGCCGCCTCACTTTGCACGCAGAACGGCAGAGCTGGCAAGAAGTAGCTGCGATTCTGCTGATGACGTTCTGAACGCCGGAAAAGAAAGCAAGATTTGAGCATTCCAGCGTTGCTGAAGAGCCGACTGTTGTGCAGCAGAACTCCTCTGTGTAGGTGGTCAGTCCAAGAGCTTCGATCGCGTCGTGCAAGCTCCTCGTTGCTAGAAAGAACGAGCACGTTTGAGAAATGCGCAACACAAGGCCGACACGGCTGAGTTTCACGAGGCTTTTTCAGGCTCCTAGAAACTTTTTGGTGCAACTGAAATGTCATCAAGCACCATGGGCAACAGAGATCTGATGCTGGTCGAGAGGCTTTGCTGTAATCAGCTTCTTCCCGCTGACGGCGCCCAATCGGAGACGCAGTCTGTGGCGCACTGCATTTGTCTGCTGATCCTTGGAGGCGACAAATGTCACTACTGAAGCCTCAGCCGTTACCGTTAACGTTCACCTGGGTGGATGCAGAAGAAAGCCGGGTTGACAACTACACATCTGCTTGGATGGTTCTACCAGTAGTAGGAGGCCAGAGTAGGAGAAGTTTCGGTTGCAGTAGTAGCACTTGATTGCGAGATAGAACTATTGGCAGCAGGGCAGTTGTAGTGGTGGCAGTAGTAGTAGTAGCAGCAGCTCTAGCACTAGTAATCATACAGATACACACCAGTAACAGTAGCAATAGTAGGAGTAGCAGCAGCAGCAGTAGCAGTAGTAGTACCAGGAGCAAGAGCAGGAGCAGCAGCAGGAGCACGACAGGAGCAGGAGCAGGAGCAGGAGCAGCAGCAGCAGCAGTAGCAGCAGCAGCAGCAGCAGCAGCAGGAGCAGGAGCAGGAGCAGGAGCAGGAGCAGCAGCAGCAGCAGTAGCAGCAGCAGCAGCAGCAGGAGCAGGAGCAGGAGCAGCAGCAGCAGCAGCAGGAGCAGCAGCAGCAGGAGCAGGAGCAGGAGCAGGAGGAGTAGGAGTAGGAGTAGGAGCAGGAGGAGTAGGAGTAGGAGTAGGAGTAGGAGTAGGAGTAGGAGTAGTAGGAGTAGTAGGACTAGTAGGACTAGTAGGAGTAGTAGGAGTAGTAGGAGTAGTAGGGGTAGTAGGAGTAGTAGGAGTAGTAGGAGTAGTAGTAGTAGTAGTAGTAGTAGTAGTAGTAGTAGTAGTAGTAGTAGTAGTAGTAGTAGTAGTACTGGGTAGTAGTAGTAGGAGCAGCATTCGCAGTAGCAGTGGTTGTAGATGCACTCGTTGTTGTCGTAGCAGCAGGAGAACTGGAGCTTCGGATTTTGGAAGGGAGGGAGGTGCGTCGGGGGAAATGACGACACTGTAACGCGAACATCCAGTCTTCTCGGAATTTACGGTACTTTCGTAGTCATACGGTTTGACAAGCGTAGCTGGTTGGGGGAGAGGGTGGCTAGTAGTTGTAGTAGCAGTAGCAGTAGCAGTAGCAGCAGCAGCAGCAGCAGCAGCAGCAGGAGCAGCAGCAGGAGCAGGAGCAGGAGCAGGAGCAGGAGCAGGAGCAGGAGCAGGAGCAGTAGCAGTAGCAGTAGCAGTAGGAGTAGGAGTAGGAGTAGTAGTAGTAGTAGTAGTAGTAGTAGTAGTAGTAGTAGTAGTAGTAGTAGTAGTAGTAGTAGTAGTAGTAGTAGTAGTAGTAGTAGTAGTGTGGCAGTAGCAGTGGCAGCAGTAACGGCAGCAGCAGCAGCAGCAAGAGCAGCAGCAGCAGCTGCTGCGGCAGCTTGGCATTGCAGCTGCCGCCATCGCTGCTGCTGTGTTCAGTATTCGAGAACGTAGTACAACATTACAACAGTGTTCGTGTGTCTGTACACACCGCATATGTGCATATGCATGTATCTGTGCATGTATGTATGCATGTATGTACGCAGGCAGGCAGGTCGGCAGGCAGACAGGCAAGCAGGCAGGAAAGTGTACGTTTACGAGTACTATATTGTGTGTATGTGTATGTACATGCTTCTCATGTTTATCGGGACGATGCCTGCAAGAGGCCGTGCCATAGCCATGGAAAAAACAACCCCAAACTGTTGGGACAGCTGTCCATGATTTACACCTCGTAACACCAGAATTGCGGTGCCTGCCCTACTTTTGAGTCTTCACGTTTCCGAACCGAAACTGGTTCCCAAACTTAGCAGAACTCAAAAATCAGCTTAAAGACCTCGTCTCTATTCCACAAAGAATGCGAGGCCTTGCAGTCTCGTCGGTCTTGTCGAACTCCACTCTCGCACATGAAATGTGCGTTTTCTCTGGAAATCCAGCCTCCAATCGAAATCCAGCCTCCATTCCTGTAAATCATGCTTAAACGCACCCTCTTTTGGGCGTGCCGTTGCCTTGTTCATGCTCATGTGTATGAAATTTCAACCTTGCATATGTAATGCATTGGAATGTATCGTAGTGCAGTCCAACGTACGGCAAGGCAGGCTATGCAAGTGTGCATAATCGGATGGCTGCACGGCATGTCTTCGTTCAACACCCCTCCCGTTCACCACTTGCGGTTGTGGCACGCGTGCAGCGACCTGTACGCCCTCGCCCTTGTCGTCCTCAACACCGCTGGTAGCCTTGCACCGGGAAATCTTTTACAAGCTTGTGTGCTTGCAGTTTAGAGACCAGGTATGGCTTGTGGACCTGCCGAATCATTGAACTACTTACCATCGAGCAGAAACTATGCGTATCTGTGCCGAGCGGCAGATATTCTTGAGACTCGACCTTTTGCATGTTCGAAGTCGTCTGTGGCCTGCTCATGGCAAGGTGAAGGTCTGGGAGAGGTGCTCGGGCGCAAAAGCACCCGTGGGCTGCAGAGTTGGGGGGAAAAGAAGTGATAACGAGGACCCTGAGGCTCGATGTCATTAGCAGCTCGATTCCCTCAACGATTGCGCTTACACAGCCTCCTTAACACCTACACCTATACCGCCCTCGCTCGCGCTTGCGGCTTTGTGCCAGCTTCGAGCCACGAGACGAGTTTCGGATAGCCACAGACGTTCGGTGCCTCCATGCTGCCCTGGCCGGACTTGACCTCATTCAGCGACGCCAGCGACATGTTCTCGCTCGAGCCCTTGACCTTAGGTGCTTGGACATTTGTTTGATTTCTGCTCCATGAATTTCACAGACATCCAGTCTCAGAGGACAGTGTCTTGCAGGCATTGCGCATTGTGCCTTCGCATCTGGGGCTCGGACCAGAGACTCCTGGAATTCGGGTTCGAGCACAGCCACCCGGGTCTGCACCTGCGCTCTAGAGTTTTTCGGTGCCGCGGAAGGTCTGAGGCACGTAAGGTCATTGGAGTCGTCCCTCATCAGAAAGCCTAAATCATTGAGTGACATCAGCCGGCATGTCGGTTCCTCTAGCACTTCCAGACAGCCTAGCAGGATTTTAGAGCCCATGCCGGATTCACAGGTCAGTGTTTGGCCTGCCACCTTGGTGGATCGTATGAGGTCGGATCCAAGAGAAGCGAAGCCTAGACTCAGACAACACAGGCTGCTTCGACAAGGCCCTGCAGCAAGCCTCGTCGTCGATCGCAAGCCTCACAAGCACAAAGGAGCTTCATGCATGAACAACCTCCAGCTGTTCAGCAGGCGTCCTCTGGATCTGCATAACCCGACTACTAGCATCGTAACTCCGGGCATGTTGTAAGAAACAGACGGAGTTGGCATACCATGGCCTACCTCCTGTCTCGCCCAGGGCCAAAAGATGTGCAAACCTGTATACGCTTTCTGTCTCTATCTTGACCCCGCTCGCAGTCATAGCCATAGCTCGTTGAGGTGCTCTACCGGCCCTAACCGATCCGAACACGATTGCCGCCATTGCAAGCATCGCCGGCCTCTGTGGCTTCATGTTGCAGAGAAGCTCTGCATGGCTGGTGTCTTTGATCTTGGCAGTCAGACGAGGTTTGGAGGAATTGAGTTGGGTGCTGGCACGATGCACAAACATGGCTGGAGCGCGGAGTGAGTGGCAACTCTGAGGACAAACATGCGCTTCGAAATCTCTTGCAGTTGCAAGGATTGGGCCAGGCACGTTTTCGAAGCCTTCACAGAAACTTGACTTCATGCCGGAGTCGAAGTGGCATCTGTGGATGCCCCCAGCTGCATCGTAGTATCCGCAAGAGATCTATACCACTCCTATACCCCTAAGAATGCCCTCTTGTAGCCCTCGGAGCAGAAGAAAACCACTGGCTTCCAAGATGCCCGTAAGACTGGCTCCTCGGCACCACCGGGATGCACATCGCCATTGAGAACCTTTGTCTTCCTACTCACCAGGGAGGGGGGAAAGGCTTCTCTTCGGGGATGTTCGGGGCGAGCACTTCTCTTTTTGGAGAAGCTTTTGACGAGGCCGACCTGTCAGCAGTCCTGTTCATACTACCTAGTCATCGGGTAAATAACCCAATTGCAGAGCTTTGGTTCCCGGAAGCAATTCTCGCGATCTTACAATGTGGATCTGTTTGACCAACTTTGTTCTCCTGCCGTAGATCCAACTTCCATGCCAGACATCAGCTTCCAAACCGCCGACCGGTCTTCAGCAGCTGCTGGGTCTGTTAGAGGCCCTGAATTTACGAGCAGTCTGCATATGACAGCGACAATGAGCCCGGCTGGCTTGGTAACTCCTCAGCTCATGTCTTGAGCCCCCAGTCGGTCGTAAACCCGGCATCATCTCTTCCTCAAGCATCGACCCATATGCCATGTGCAAGGAACCTCGGCGCGGGCAGACCGAAGTTCTCGCAGTTCGTGCTCCAGCGAGCGGATCTTCCTGCAACAGCAACAGCTTAATTGTGTCAACCCGAGGCAGCAAATCTCTGACCCCTTCTTCTCGATTGTGGTGCTGGTCTTAACGATGTTTAGGAATGACATGTCTCCACTTGTAGAGGCATTCAGAAGCGCCTGCCGATGGAGTCAGGAGTCAGGTGGGCAGCGGGTTGGCTGTCCTCGTAGGCCTTGCCAGGAACCCGCGGTATCTACCAACTAGTGTGCGGGGTATTGATTGAGCGGGCCAGTAATCTGCAGTCGACATTATCTCACACCATATTAGGATGTATTGTCTCATGTCTCGTACAGACTGTAAGTAGTAGTAGAAGTAATAGTCGTCGTAGTCTTCGTCGTCGTGGTGGTTGTGGTTGTGGCTGTGGTTGTCGTTGCGGTTGTGGTTGTGGTGGTTGTTGTTGTTGTTGTTGTTGTTGTTGTTGTTGTTGTTGTCGTTGTCGTCGTCGTCGTGGTCGTTGCGGTTGTGGTTATTGTTGCGGTTGTGGTTGTGGTTGTGGTTGTTGTTGTTGTTGTTGTTGCGGAAACAGTGGGCGTATGAATTCTAAGTCGTTGTTGTTGTTGTTGTTGCTGCTGCTGCCGCAGCAGTAGTAGTAGCAGTAGCAGTAGCAGTAGCAGTAGCAGCAGCAGCAGCAGAAGTAGAAGTACTTGTTGTTGTTGTTGCTGTCGTCGCCGTATATGACACGTCATGTAAAGGAATAAAGGAATTGTAAACACAGCTCATCATGGGACGCGCATGATGAGCTGTACACGATATGTTTACATCCCAGCCCTATCTTTCCGTTTGGGATAGCTTTACAGTCGATCAACAAAACGTGGTGTAAGTGTATGCTGCCGGTTCCAGGCTCTATGCGGTTGAACAGACAGTAGACAGTCAGATGGAGAGACAGACACAGATACTTAGGTAGCTTCTTTCACTCGTTCGCTGTCTCTGTCTGTCTCTATCTCCTTCGCTCCGTCTCTCTAAGCAGCGAGATCCCGCTTGGCCCATGCCTGGAGCATCTGCTTCCGGAAAGCGCTCCAGGAAGCATCCTCGGAATCCCAAAACATTTCGACCCTAGTCCGACACCTTTGGTTTGTAAGCGCTCAAATCGTGAGTTCCTCATGCTGAATTGTTTGGTCTTGTGGGCTCCATTTCAAGGTTGAAGGCTCCAGAAGCTGTGAGGCAGCAGCGCATACAACGGCTAACGCGGTACACACGAGAGTAAGCCTGAACGGTCAAGCAGGTCCCCAAGCATCCCAGCCTTGCTCGTCAATGGGCATCGTCTACGTAAGTTGTTACAGTACTCAGCATCCTTGCCTCGCACGTGCCGTGACGGGCAGGATTTGAAACCCTGCTGCCCAAGATGCGAGAAACTCGGCAAACGCCGACTGGCAGTGAGCCGCCATAGGCAGAACCCCCCTAACGGCAGCCTTTGTTGCGTTGGCCTGAGGAGTTCAAACATCTGTCGCCGCTGGCGTTCGGTCCCTTCTTGGACTTGTTCAGCCAATGCGGCAGTGCAGCAAAGTCAAAATCCCGTGTTGCCTGCTCCGCTTCATGTGGATCGTAACTGGAAGCTGCTTCTTTATGTAAGCCGCAGATTCTGATGCACGGGCAGCTCAAGCTCAATCTAGGCTGTGTGCAGGTCTACGCAACTGGGGAGCGCAGCCCTGAAGATTTCGGAACCCAAATGTCATGTTGATATGTTCGCATTGAACACTGAAACAGTCTTCAATGGAATGCCAGCACTGTTCACTTTACAGCAGCACTGCAGCCCTACGTAAACCAAGATAGGCTTCAAAGGTGCTTTCGGTTTCTGTGCCTCAGCTTGGTGCTGTTGCGGATTTGCACAGCATTTGGCAGCGACAAGCAAATCTCAACAAGCTTGATTCTGGGCAGATGAGAACACGAACTGCAGGGCTCAGAATCCTAATACCTGACTTAGCTCCAGGAGCCTCTACACTCAGCAAAGATCGGTCGTTGCGAGAATGCTAGTTCGGGTTGGCATCCGCATTCTATAGCAAACCTGCCTTTTTAATGCCTACACAGCAAGCTCCAGAAGCCAAATATCTATGTCTCATGCTGGTACCACGGTTCTAAGCAGTAGAACTGCATGTCCAACAATCTGTAAAACATCATGGCCCGTACAGTAGGTTTGGAGGACGTGTTGGCACTAGGTCACCAGGGACTAGGGAATCCACGAGCGACTGTGATTTTCGTCTCCGAATGCCCTTGCCACAGCGCTGCAGCAAGGCCCTGCCGTCGCCAATCCAACGGACGAATGGCTGAACAGTTGTGAAGAACTGATGGAAAGGACACTTCTTGCATCTTCCCCATTTCTAGCGGGTAAAGTGGAGGCGCTCGCAAGGATTCAGTCATGCAAACGTGCCGTTGCCTCCACCTCAAGCCACAAAGCTCAGATGGGGTCGCTGCAGCTTCCAGACTGCTGCTCCGTGTCCCATCTGCGATTTCTTGATTCAGAGCTTGCACGGAAAAGGTGCAATCAGGACAAGGTAATGCCCGTTCCCGCGCACGGGCTGCCGCATGTGGCGAAAACTGTGACAAATTTTGCCACTGTGCCCGGGCCAGAAAGCAAAGCACAATGTCCAAAGACAGCAGCACGCCCGTGCTTGAAAACTGATCAGCCGAGAGAGCCACTGCAACACGGATGCAAACTCATGCAGTGCTTACCCAAGAAAGACACAAAGGCTCTCCGCTAACGCTACGAAGTGCCTCCACTCCCTGGCCAGCTGCGTTCCGGTCCGGTCAAACAAATCTATGACTACTACAAGCTCTGCAATTGGAGTTCTAGGTCCCGAGCCTATGCTGCATGAGATCTTCATGAGGATCGGATGAGGAGTCAGGGTGCATGGTGCTCTACGACTCTGAGAGGATCTGAAAATGTGCGCCACACCCCTCGAGGGCTTTCGGCGGAGCGATTGACTGCAAACTTCTTCGTGTCTGCGAAGCCACCTGCACAGAGTTCTGTCAAGCTCACATAACATGGATCGCCGAAAATAATCATTGCATGGAGGCATAGGAAAACTGACATCTGGCAACGCAAAACCTGCAGCTACCGCAGCGCGCTTCCGCGAGACGGCATTTGGTCCGGGTTTGCCCGCCCTGTTTCGGGCAGACAAGCCCGTCGAACAGTCAAACATTTGCGACACGCGGTCTTGCCCTTTGGGAAGACTGCGACTTGGATGGGGATGGAGAGCACGTCGTGCAGCGGTGCAGCTCTGCTCGAACCTCCTGCTGGGGGGCTTAGAGCAGCGGGTATACAGGCAATACAGACTCGGAGTGCACTGGCC